TAATTATTTTAAATTATTTTCATGCACAAATGATATTTTTATCATTTATGAATTATCTTTATAAATTATTTTAGTCATTTAAATGGGTATTTAAAACATAGCCCCATTCCTAATTAACTTTCGGACCTACCCAGCCCAATACCCTATCCAACCCAATAACCCAATACCCAACACCCTAACACAACTACCCATACCCATACCCGTCCAAATTAAACCCGTCCCACCCAAAATCTAATCCTGGTCGTTGATCTCAGAAGATCAAAGACCCTAAACCATTTATCCATTCTATGTATACNACTCTCAAACCCTAGCCCGCCGTCACACTTTCCCTTTCGATTCATGGGATCTTCTCTTGATTCCTTGCCTTATTTGGCTTTGTTTCTTTACTGGCTACCCATCTTGATGCTACTTGATTCATTTGCCTCAAATGGCAAGTGAATCTCAAGAGACTCGAACCAGATATGGTTCAAAGTCTCTCAACTCGGCTATTTCTGTTTATGTCCATCCCAATACCCGTGAGTACGAATATTTTCGTATCTTATGGTTTCAAATCTCTGGTTCAAATCAGATTTGGTTCAACTTCTGTGTATTTTATGAACCTGGCTATTTTTTGGTTAAATATGTTTAGATCTTTCCGGATCTGAAACGATTTATGTTCGTTTTGGTATTTCTCCTTTAAAATTTCAATATCTCTGTCTCTATATTTTCTAGACTTTTTCTATTATTATTCCTGACCGAATTTATTTACCCTAAAACTAGGGTTTTGATTTCAACAGATTTTTGCAAAATAAATGTTTTAACCTTTAAACATTTGTCTCTAGGTATCCGTTAGGGTTTTCTCATTTATTTTTACTGATTTCACTTATTTTTGTATTTCTGCCTATTTTCTTAGGGTTTCGATTATTTGTTCATTCTTACTGTTTCTGCCTATTTGCCTTTAACTCTGTCGATTAATTGCTAATTGATTTTACTCACCTAAATTAGGATTTGAAATTAGCCATGGTGTTTCTTTATTCTATTTACTTGTTCTTTCCTTTAGCAGTAGCGATTACTGGCTTGATCTTATGTTCTGATTATTAAAGTCGACTTCTAATTGATTCTAGAATTTCCTTACCTTATTTGACTACTAATTGATTCCATTAACTGACGCTAGCCTGATTTTATGCCTGTCAATTGATCTATGCCGACTCTAATTGATGTTAATTTATTCTCATACTTTATTTGTGTAGGACTGGTTCATTACCTTATTTGTTTACTTTATTGAGTGCTATTTAAACCCCCTTCCTCACTTCCTTTAGAACAACACTACAGGTCTGGAACTCTCCTATTCTCACTACTAAAACTTAAGCTCTCTCTCTTACTCTTGTTCTGATTTCTGCACTAAGTGACTATTGTTTGGCCGGCTGAAAGCCAAGGCTAAATTACTCTTGAATTCAACTATTACTGCACCTTTACTTGCTTTCTTCCTAACTGGTATTCCCTAACTTTTGCAATTTCCTTCTCTATACTTTACATGCCTGTTTCAATTTCTAGCATGATTCTATCCTTTATCTGTTAATTTGATTATGATGTTAACTTAAGACTAAGTTATTAGAATAACTCTCCTAAGTTAGTTTAAGGTTCGATTTGTTTGTAAGTTTTATACCTGTTCTGAACTATGAGCATGTAATCAAGTGTGTTTGTGCTTAATTCATATGTCCTACCTGTTCTGCCTAATATGTGACTAAGCCATGACTGTTTCAAATACTAGCATAAGCATTTAGCTTAATCAGATTTCACCATGTTTGGACTGTATGTTGAACCTGAACCTTGTTTGTTTCTTGGAGTAGTTCTGCCTGCAACTCTGTAATCTGAACTTTCTCTCTTCTAAAATTGAACTACTTCAAAACCTGCCCTCTTACCCTTTATGCACTGGTTTTCAAACTCCTACTCTTAGTCATTTAGGTTTTCACCACCCCCGGTGTGAGCACTGCCTAGGGTCCTTGAGATTACTTTGAACTCTGACACATTGGGGTTGGTTTTTCCAATCTTTTATGAACTCTGTACTAAATGTGTGGTTTTAGTGTGAGCATTGCCTGGGGTCCCTGAGGCTCTCTGGGAACTTTGACATACTGGAAGCCTGGTTTGATGTGCTGTGAATGGATCACTGCTATGCTTCAGAGTTGTTGTGTTTGAAAGCTTGGTTTCCAAGCTTAGATTGTGCCTATGAAGGCTCCCTATAGTGTAATCGTTACTATTATGTAATTAATTCATTCTAGGCTGTAATAATATCTGTAATAACAAATTTGGGGTTTATTAGAAAAAGCTGGGGGGTTTTCTTATACCTTTGCTGAAACTGGGTAGAGATCCTGCCAATAGGTTTAATTAGCTGATTGAACTATGTGGATACTATACTGTGTTTAGAGATCCTGCCTATAGGATTTTTTCATGATCATTTTGATTCTGTGTTGCACATCTGCATGCTAGAAACCCTGCTTATAGGACTTTACGTTTAATTCTGTACATTAGAAATCTTGTTCATAGGATCCACACATATTTTCAACCCAATATGCATTAGTGACCATGTCTATAGGGCTTTTGTTGATTATCTTTCATAACAACCTGTTAATTTCTGTCCAAATAAGGTTAATAGATATCATGCCTATAGGAATAAAAATCCGTGTCAAACCTAGAAATAATGCTTATAGGAGTTAAAACTAATAGATATCATGCCTATTGGGTGAAATCAGTTACGGAACTTAGAGATCCTGTCTGCAGTAGTTCAAATCAACCCCGCAACTAGAAATCCTGCCTGTAGGGGTTTAAATCAATTCAGGAATTAGAAAGCATGCCTATAGGATCTAAAAGAAATAAAACTGTCTTTATGAGTTAAAATCAGTGCTACACTTAGAAATCACTATAGGTCTGTATTTGACAAAATCGTAGAAATCATGCCTATAGGATCCTGTTAGTCTATTCTGAATTCAAGCGCTCTTGTAAATCACTTAGGCAATAGATCCGTAGAACTTATTAATGATTCTAGGTTTAAAACAGTGACACATTTCTGCTTGAGGTGCCCAGATTCATGCTGAATAAAATCAGAAGGCAAACAAATAGGTCTTGCTGCTCACCTTAACAAAGCTGCCTTTATACTCTGTTGTCTCACGTGGATATCCTGCCTAAAGGATTCCAAAGTTAATCAAGTTTGTTGATTCAATTGCGTGCTTTTGTTGCCTATGTGTGGAGGTCAATGTGAGCCCATACTTTCTTTATTTGTTGTTTACTTTGTCGCCTAGATTTTACATTTTTAAGCAATATAGGATTGGTCTAGAACTATCCCAAAGAGAGGTCCTAATACCTCCAGGACCACAGGTAAGGGACGGTAGTACACGCATAGGGTACAGTTTAGAATCAATTAGTGCGCTTAAGTAACAACTTGAAGACAGTAATTGGGTAGTAAAGAAAATGATAGCCCATGCGCTAATGCTATGAATAAAACCTCGACTTGAGGGAGTTGCATAGCATTGCATGGAATGATCCTACAGGCTAAAAAATATTGGACCATCCCCTATACTCCTATTTAAAATAAATTGAATATTGTATTGGTCCAAATTGTTTTCTTCCCTTTTAAAGACTAATTCGCTTAATTTAAGTTCGGTCGGGACCCACCGTTATGGACCTCGAGGGGTGCCTAACACCTTTCCCTCAAGGTAATTTCGAGCCCTTACCCGATCTCTGGTGATGTAGACTGGTTATCTGAGTTAATTGCTTTAGGTGCCCTAACGCACCTTAAATCCGTTAGGTGGAGAACCTTTCAAATCCAATTCCCTACCCTCACGGAAAGGAGTTGTCCCAGAAATGTTGAAACCTGATTTCGCGAGAAAAAGGGGCGCGACACTCATTGTGTCAGAGTTTGCCATGATTTTCTTATCATATTTGTATTTTACTTGTTAGTTGAAGAAAAGTAAAATATTTACCATAATTATATTTACTTTTCCGAAAGAAAAAATATAGATCTCTTTCACATTTGACAAATTTCTTTCTTGGAGAAAAGTTTTGTGCACCTCTATAAATTGAGGACCCCTCCTTACAAAAACAACACAATAGCAATCCACAATATAGTCATTAAAAGAGTCATGTTTAGCGCGAGAATTTATGCTCTCGATAAATTTTTTATTTATTTTTTATTTTTAATATTAGTAGCACATTGATTTAGGTCAATTGACCAAACAATTAAAATAATAATATCTTCTTGATATATTTCTCTTTGTTAGTCTTATTTGTCGTTATCAAGGTTTTTTTGTTAGCTTATGCATGACGCCTTGTTATTTCGATTCCAACAAGTGATACCAGAGCCAATGGTTTAGAGCGATATTGAAGACAAGTTGAAGGCGGATTCATATCAAGTAGCAATGAATTTGACGATAATAAAAATTGCTATCGTAATTTTTTTTTGTCTAGAGTACTACATGTGAAGATAAAATTCGACCATACTTTCAATACTCATGTTGTTGGATCTTTAAAATAAAAATTACTTCTAACCCATGCTTACTTTTAACGTATGTATGAGCTCCACTTTTATCTCTACTTACTTTTAATCCAGGCTTCAATTCAGGGGCGGCTAAAGCTCATATGTGGCGAAACGCCAAAGTTTGATATGAACCCTAATTTTTTTTTGTAAAGATTCTAATATATATTTTTGCTTGAAGTCTATTCTTCTAACCTTTTGAGATGCAAATTTGTTAATCATTTCTTTTATAATCGATATCTTCCAAAAAATCCTTTTCAATTGATATTGTAGCCAATCTTAAGACATTGTTGATCTTAGCTAAGATTTGTCAATTCTAATTTTGAAAAACTTCTTTCCGCATATGAAAATGTCACGACCCAAATCTCCCTCTGTAAGATGTCGTGATGACACCTAGTCTCTATGACTAGGTAAGACTAACAATTGCGGAATAACTGAAATAATAACAAAATTTAACAACTAAACTCCAACAGATAACTATATAACTGAAAAATGTCGCTCGACTTATACAAGTAAACCAACACTCAAGTATAACAATGTTCCCAAAACTCGATGGTAATAATTCACAAGCATCTAAGAGAAAACTAAGTGTCTCTATACATCAGAGTCTAAGGAAAATACTGAAGGAAAACAATATAGGAGGGAATAGAGGGGGACTCCGAGGTCTGCGAACGCGGGAAGATATACCTTTAAGTCTCCACGAACTCACTGCTCACTAATATCGAGGCTGGTATGAGGTACCTGGATCTGCATACAAAACATGTGCAGAAGAGTAGCATGAGTACACCACAACGGTACCCAGTAAGTGCCAAGCCTAACCTCGGTAGAGTAGTGACGAGGTCAGGTCAGGGCCCTACTTGTATATAATAAATAAGGCAGAAGATATAGCAACATAATGAAAGACAAATTTAACGACAAGAAAAATATGGGAAGATAACAACACAATACATAGTGATAAACAAAAGGGCGCTCCCAAGAAACTGTCTCGTAGTCCCAAAAGTAAATGCTCAATAGGGGATCTCCCGAGGTACCGCCTGTAGTCCCAAAAGTAAATATGCAGCAAGGATCTCTCGAGATACCGTCTCGTAGTCCCAAAAGTAAATATGCAACGGGGATCTCCCGAGGTACCGCCTCGTAGTCCCAAAAGTAAATGTGCGACAGGGGATCTCCCGAGTTACTGTCTCGTAGTCCCAAAAGTAAATACACAGCTCGAAATCGATGGAAACAACAATTTCAGCAAGCAATCCTACAGTTTAAGACTAAGTACAAGTCAAGGAAAAAGCATAGATTGAACTAAGCATGTTGCACAGAGTTCAAATAAGCATTTAAGACACGTAGACATGCGATATTAGGCTAAACAGGATGACTATACATGCTGGAATAACTCATTTAGGATAAAATAGGTTACTGTTCAGTAAAAATTGGATTTTACAACAATCAGCCCGTCTACGCACTCATCACCTCACGTACACTGCACTCACACATCACAGAAGTATCACAACAGTACCAAATCCTAAGGGGATTTCCCCCACACAAGGTTAGGCAAGCCACTTACCTCAAACCAAGCTCAATCACTCAACAACAATGTCATTTCATAGACATTTCGAGGTTTGCGGACGCAGGCAGATATACCTTGAAGTCTTTATGAACTCACTGCTCACTAATATCGAGACTGGTAGGAGGTACCTGGATATGCACACAAAATGTGTGCAGAAGAGTAGCATGAGTACACTACAACAGTACCTAGTAAGTGCCAAGCCTAACCTCGGTAGAGTAGTGACGAGGTTAGGTCAGGGCCCTACTTATATATAATAAATAAGGCAGAAGATATAGCGATATAATGAAAGACTGAGAATTTAACGACGAGAAAAATACAGGAAGATAACAACACAACATATAGGGATAAAACACAGGGGCGCTCACGAGATACTGTTTCATAGTCCCAAAAGTAAATGCTCAACAGGGGATCTCCCGAGGTACCGCCTCGTAGTCCCAAAAGTAAATATGCGATAGGGGATCTCCCGAGGTACCGCCTCGTCATCCCAAAAGTAAACACACAGCTCAAAATCGATGGAAACAACAATTTCAGGTTACTGTTCAGTAAAAATTTGATTTTACAACAATTGGCCCGTGTACGTACTCGTCACCTCGCATACACGGCACTCACATATCACAGAAGTATCACAATAGTATTAAATCCTAAGGGGATTTCCCCCACATAAGGTTAGGTAAGCCACTTGCCTCAAACCAAGTTCAATTAGTCAACAAGAATGTCCTTTCCTCGACTTTCTGCCTCCGGATGACCCAAATCTACCCAAAAGCAATTACGTACTATAAATATAACTATAAGAAACCAATATAATTAATGAAATCAAGACTTTAACAAGATATTCAAAAATCGCTCCAATAAGTCGACCCAGACCCACATCTCAGACTCGGGTAAATGTCACAAAATATGAACAAACATTCAACCACGAGTTCACTCGTACCAAAATTACTCAAATCCGATACCAAAATCTCAATCCAAATCCAAAATTTTGGTTGAAGGACTTTCCAACTTTTTCCTTAAATTTCTCAACCTAAAACCTTAATTAAAAGATGAAATTAACGATAGATTAGTGAGATATAATCAAAAATGAGTGAAGAACCATTACCCAATAGTTTCCTCTGATAATCCCTTGAATTATCGCCTCAATCAGAGCTCTCAAAGTCCCAAAGTGAAAATGAGATCAAACCCTCGTAATTTCCCCCTTTCTGCCTAGTGATCTCGCATCTGTGGACCCACAGTCACACCTGCGAAATTTCCATTGCAGGTGCGGACTTGACTTAAAACACCTGGGTCCGCTTCTGCGATCAAATGGTCGCACCTGTGAGTGCGCGCCTGCGAACAATTGTTCGCTTCTGCGGACTTCTCACCCAGCTCCTTCTCCGCTTCTGCGATCACCCCTCCGTAGGGGCAGCTCTGCTTCTGCGGTCCTTACGTCGCACCTACGACCACTGACTACCTAGACCAGGGCCGCATCTGCGACCTTCCTCTCGCACATGCGTGTTCGCACCTGCGGCCAACCCCACCGTAGGTGCGATGACACCAGAAGCTGCAATGCTTCAACAATTCTCACAAGTCCAAAATAAATCCGAAAAACACCCGAGGCCCCCGGTGTTGACACCCAATTTTCCCTATATATTTTCAATATGAAAAATAGCTTCAGAATGATATATATATTATTAATATATATATTATATAATATATATATATATATATATATATATATATAAATATATATATATATATATATATATATGGATATACACAAGTGCTTCATTACTTTTCCTTAATTTTAAAAGATTGTTTCCGAAATTGTCATTTATTGGTGATTCACTCATTGCACTTTTATATCTATACTAAAATATAGACAAGGGAATTTTTTTCATATTTTACAAATTTATTTAGTATTTTTAGAGCTATATTGCATATAATTGCAATATTAGCCTCTTTTAAGATTTAATTGCATTTATGTTCACAAGTTTAGGTCTGGTATTTGTAAATAATTAATTATGTATTATAAATCATATTAGTACCATTAATTTGTTTCCAGAAACTATTTTATTATTTTTTATAAATTAAATAGGAAAATTGGCTATTTAAATGTTAGCACCATTTTATTTCGATTTTAGCCCAAATTGGCTTCCAATTTAACCCCAAATCATCCCAATTACCCTGGCCCAATTCCTATTAAACCCCGACCCAAACCCATCTCCATAACCGGTACCCGGAACCCCACCTAAATCCCAGCCGTTGATCGATTAGATCAACGGCTCCCATTACCCCCTTCCTTTTTTAACCCAAATGACCCCTTCACCCTAATTCATTTCACACATACCGCCGCCCCTAAATCCCCTTCTCTCTAAATTCTCTCTGCAACACCACCGTAAACCCTAGCCGCCGCCACCAAATTCCACCCTAATCCTCCTCAATCCCCACCTAATCCATGGTCTCCCCTGGAGTTTTGAGACGTGTACTCGTCTCCTATGTCTACTTGTTACATATTTTCGTGATATCATGGACAAATCTCAAAGAGTTCTGGTCCAGTCCTTGCTCGACTTCGATCTCTGGTCCTTTTCCGGCAATCTACGGTTGTTCAAGTCAGATCCTTGACTTTTCCGGCTAGATCGGTATCTTTTAAAGCCTTTCTCACTTTCTCTGAGTTCTTTGAAACCCTAGCTCTAAGAGCTGTTCGATTTTCTTTCAGATCGATCTTAGATCTGTGCTTATTACAAACTTTTTAAGTGTTTCTCGAAGGTTCTTCGATTTTTCTTGCAAAATGACTCTCCATTTTTTAACGATTAGGGTTTCCTAAACTCTTCTCCGATTTTCAATATGTTTTTATGATGTTTGTCCATGTTTGCTGCTACCTGGTTCGTCATGCTAAAATCCCTAAGTGTTCTGGCTTTACCTGGGCTTCTGAAATTCTCTTGGTTTATTTTATACGCTTGTTTAGTTCGATTAAGCTCTTTGCATTTGAATCTTTTTGTCTTGTTTGACTTATCTGATTCTGAGTTCTTACCATCTTTTAAATTTGACTTTTGTTGAAACCCTAATTTCCTAAAAGGTTTTCCTCACTTGTTAATGTGAGACCTTTACGTGTTTCTAACTCTTTTACCTGTTAGTTTGGTTTTCTGCATTTTTGATTTTATGTGACTACATGACATACTCGATTGCTGAGCTTCGAATGGTTTTCTTTTACTGCCGAATCCTAGCTTACCCCTACTGCTACTGTATGTTTGTGTTACTTCTTCGTCAATATGATTGACCCTGCATGCCTAGTATGTCTGTCCCTCCCTTGCTATTTATATGTTGAGATGCAAAATCGTGATCCTTTCTTGATTGATTCTGACCCCCTCAATGTTGCGACTGATTGCAAAAGGGTTTTCTTATGAACCTTAATTTTATTCGTTTGTTTAAATTGACTGACTCCCTTCCTTAATTACTGTGATGTTTTACCTTGAATCCTTTTCCAAAATTAAGTATGTTTTCATACTTAGACTCAAATATTTACCTTCATACTTTTACTGCCCCTTATATGGCAAGAATCAATCTGTCCCCAAACTAATTTCTTTCCTTAATTAAGCCTGGCTAGTATCCGTTTGAGCAGTACTCCCTTGATTAATGGGAAGTACTTATGTTAATTGATGCTGATTATGATTGTTTCCATGATTATGTTAAGCCTTTGCTTATTACCTTAATTTCTACTCGTTTTCAATACTATAAATACCCACCTTCTCTTCTTTCAAACACACGAACACAAGGCATAAAACACTTGAGTTCAGACACACACCTCACTAAAATATCTCTCTTTTCTTTGTTGCTACTTGTATTGCTGCCTTACCTAGCCAGCTAAAAGCCAAGGCTAGGCTGTGGGAAGCTTGCTCATTTTTCTCTGCATTTGCATCTTGACTGGTATGTTCTAACTAATTTTCAGCATCAACAACAATATGTTTCTTTACTGTTTCTTTCATTCTTGTTTGTCTCCTGTTTGTATTTAACCCAGTTCCATTATTAAGCATGTTGTAGTCTGCCTTTTCTGTTCTGAATTAATGCTTCTGTTAATTACTTATCATGTCTTGTGAACCTTAAATCCCTATCCCCAATATGTTTGGTATCTGCGATTGGTTTGGGGCATGACAGCATTGAACATTGTTGTGCATGGCCCAAACTAGATCCCCCTAGGATCATAACCTCCATGTTT